GGGTTTTGTGTCAAAGTGGTTATACATTTTTCCAAGTCATATTTCAGCATTCTATTCCTGTGAAACTGAGAAATTGTTTGCTTAGCAAAAGATGGTGAGGTTGATTTGTGAATGCCACTGACTAATAAAGGGTATTAGAATGAATCCCACATAGGCAAAAAAACAGGCAGTCTAAGTGTCAGGAAAACTAGGGAAATTCACATATATTTTAAACCCAGGAATTATTACTGTTCATTTATACTATAGACTAAAGTGAGCTTATAATTTTTGATAAACTGGTAGATTTTTTTAAATGTTATGTTAAATTATTGCAATATTTGTTTATCTGCATTTGAATGCTTACATTTTCCTCTTTATTTAATTGACAGATTCTTTGCCTTTCATCTTATTACTTGACTCATATGGAAGCCAAATTAGGAATGTTAATCTAAAATGTCTAGGAAGGAAAGATAATTTCTATAAACAAAAATGAATAAAAATTCTTTTCAAGCCATGTTGTTTGCATTAAATGACACTCAAATCTGCCTGTGCTGCCACATCATTTAGTAGTTGGATTGATGATTTTTAGTTTCTCTTGCACAGAGTGGTAGCTGAATTTTTAAGCAGCTATCCCTTTCATCTTTTTGTATATAACTTACGTTTGCCATTGAAGCACACTTAATATGTGCCGTTCATGTTATAAACTAGGTGGAGTGATAGGCATAAAGAAACCAAATCCTTCTAGGAGCTGACAGTCTAGTAGTGAAGAAATAATGAGAGGATCGCTAACAGACGTATATACAAAGTACTATTTGAATCGTCAGACTTGAGATAATTTCAAGGTTGAGAGGGAAGGGACAATACGAAGATTCTCAGCAGAGGTGGTAATATAGAGGGGACCTTAGAGATCACATCGTCTTAACTACCTAATGCAACACTGTTACAGTGTTCTCCAAAGTTGGATATCTAGATTTCTGCATATTGGGTTCTAACTCATGGTCTAGATCTGCACTACTAAGGTTTTAAATTCATTAAAATTAAATTTTAAAATTCAGTTCTTCAGTCACACTAGCCATGTTTCAAGTGTTCAGAAATCATATGTAACTAAACTGAATTTAAAAATCCAGTTGCAGCATTCACATTCCAAGTGCTCAACAGCCATATGTAGTTAGTGGCTACCAATATTGGATGGATATTGCAGAATTAACATTATTGTGATTACAGAAAGTTATGTTGGAAAGGTATGGTCTAGATGCTAATATCCACCTAAGGGCAGTGGATAGTGCTTATTAATAAAGTTCCCCCACAGGAAGTATTTTTAGCAAACCTTCGTTAAAGCAAAAAGTATTGCAATTTAAAAATAGTTCTAAACAACTTTTTCCATTTTTTTCTTATAACCAAAGTAAAAATTAGTGGACACTTCATATTGTGGAATCTGAACATTATAAGAAGGTTCTTTTTTCTTTTCCTGTCAGTTTAAAAATACTGCCAAATATATCCAGGTGAAGAGACATGACTAATTGTCACTGCAGTAGGTATTAGAAAAGCTAGATATTAAAGTTTCATTTTAAATATATTCTTTAAGCAAATTTTTTAAAAAGGGTCCAGGTTCTTTGTTAAGAAGGAATTTAGATTAATAAAATATTGACAGACATAAAGAACTGAAGACTGAAAATACAAGTTGAGTAACAGAGCCAGCCCTTCATCTTGAGCTGTCCCAATCTAAGGAGACCAATCCTTGCAAAGAATTAAAGCCATCTGAGAGCTAGTAAGATAGAATGTGGCCAAGCACCCAGCCCTGATGACAATATTATCTCTCATATTTCAATTCTACTTTACTCCCATAGCAAACAGGGCAATGACACTGTATAAATGAA